ACATTTCTGAGCTCATCCCATGAGGCTAGAATTACCCTGATCCCAAAGCTAAGAAAGTCATCACAACAAAAGAAAACTAAAGACACTTAGGAGCATTGATGCAAAAATCCCCACTGAGGGATAGGGATGTAGCTAATGGTAGAATGCTTGCCTTGCATGCAGAAGGCCTTGGGTTTAATCCTAAGCACCTCAAAAAGAAAAAAAAAATCCTCACTGATGATTTAATGAATAAAATGGATCCAGCAGCATACTTGAAAGGATTATACACTACGATCAAGCAGGATTTGTCCCAAGAATGCAAAGGTAACTTAAAATTTAAAAAAAAATGAGTGCTGGGCATAGAGCACATAGTTTTAGGGATCTGGGTTTGGTCCCTAGCACACTACACAACACACACGCACACACACGCATGCACACAGTCAGTCAATCAATGTAGTAGACCAATGAAATGAAGGAAAAAAATCCACTGGATCATTCTCAGTTGATGCCAAAAAAGCACTTGATGCCAAAAAACCAAGTTAGACCTGGAAAGGAAATTCCTTAGCTAAATAAAGGTCATTTATACAGCAACTCACAGCTAACATCATAGTCAATAGTAAAAGACTGAACGTTTTCCCCTAAGATCAGGAATAAGACAATGAATTGAGGTTCTAGACAGAGTAATTAGGCAAGAAAAAAAAGGAAAAAAGGTATCCAAGTTGGAAGGGAAAAAGTAAAATTATCTCGATTTCTAGATTAGTTGATCTAATGCATAGGTAATTGTAAAGAATTCCATATGTGCACACACACACAAATGAACACACAATTATTAGCGTTATTAAACAGGTTCAGCAAAGTTGCAAGAGACAAGGTTCACAAAAATTGGTTGTAGGGGCTGGGGGCATGGCTCAAGTGGTGGAGCACCTGCCCAGCAATTTCCAGGCCCCCCCAAAGGTTGTACTTCTAAACACTACTAATTAACAATCTGAAAAAAATTAAAATTCTATTTACAGTAGCATCTAAAAGAATAAAATACCTAAGAATAAGTCTAACTGAGTAGATGGGAGAATTAAAAAACATTGTTGAAAGAAATCTAAAAAGAGCTGAATAAATAAGTAGAAAGACATCTGTGTGTGTTCATGGATTAGGAGACTTGCTCTTGTTAAAATGGTAATACTCTCCAAAGTGACCTACAGATCCAGTGCAATCTCTATCAAAATTCCAACAGCCTTCCCCACCCCAGAAATGGAAAAGCTCAGATTCTTATGGATGGACAAGGGACCCCAAAGAGTCAAAAAATAATGAAAATGTAGAACAAAGCTGGAGGACTTGGCTTTTTTTTGACATCACAGCCTACAATACTACAGTAATCAAAACAGGGCAGTGCTGGTAGAGAGAGACACGTAGAACGATAGACTAGAACTGCAAATCTAGAAAAAAGCCCAAACGCAATCAACTGAGTTATAGACAAAAGTGCCAAGACCAGTAGATGCAGAAAGAATGGTCTCCCATCATAGTTATGACAACCTAACACGTGCACAAGAATGAAGCTGGACCCCTACCTTATACCATATATACAAATGAACTAAAAATGAATCTACCATCTGACTACAGGAGATAAACTCTCAGAAGGAAACACATGGCTTAATCTTTATGACCTTGAACTTGGTAAAGGATAGTTGATACAACGCTAACAGCACAGGTGAAAAAAACCACAGATAAATTAGACCATCAAAATTAAAAACTTTTATTCATCCAAGAGCATCATCAAAACAATGAAAAGGCAGTCCACAGAATTAACGAAAGTATTTGCAAATCATATATCTGGTCAGGGATTAATATCAAGAATATATAAAGAACTTCCACAACTTAACAACAGCAACAATAATAAAGTAAGCCAGATCAAAATGAACAAAAGAAGCCAAGTGCTAGTGGCCTATGCCTGTAATCCTAGGTACTTGGGAGGCTATTTGGAGGATCATAGTTCAAGGCCAGCCTGGGATAAACAGTTCTCAAGACCCCATCTCCAAAATAACCAGAGCAAAATGGACCAGAGGTGTGGCTCAAGTGATAGAGTGCTTGCTTTGCAAGCATGAAGCCCTGAGTTCAAATTCCAGTCCCACCAAAAAAAAAAAAAAAAAAAGCTGGGTGTGGTACGTATGCCTGTCATCCTAGCTACCTGGGAGGCATAAATAGAAAGATCACTGTTCAGGATAGCCAGGCATAAACACAAGACCCTATTAGAAAAATAAAGCAAAAGGGGATTAGGAGTGTGGCTCAAGTTAGAGTACCTGCCTAGCAAGTGTAAAGTGGTACTCCAGTAGCACCAAAAACAAACAAACACACAAACAAAAACACTCCAAAATGCAATGCTATTCAATGTCATACCCACTAGGATAGCTATTATAAAACAAAACAAAAATAAACCCCAGAAAATTATAAGTGTTCATGAAAACAGAGAGAAATCAGAACCTTGTGTGTTGGTTGTGACTACATAAAATGGCACAATCTCCGTGGAAAAGTGTGGCAGTTCCTCCGAAAGTTAAACATAGAGTAATGCTGGTGAGCCTAGGTGAAATAACCCAGACTGCAAAAGACAAACACTGGCTCCATGTGCATGAGGCACCTGGAGTGGACAATTATAGACAGAAAGTAGAATAGTTTACCAGAGGCTGGGGGAAAGGAGACTGGTAAGGTTATTGGGTACAAAGTTTCTGCTTGGGATGATGAAATGGTTCTGAAAGTGGCAGTGACGGCTGCACAGTTTGTGAATATGCTCAACATCACCGAATGGTGTGGCTTGAAGTGTTTAAAATGGTACATTTTATCCATCTATGTAACTACAATAAAAACGAAAGTAGTAGCTACCCCAAACTAAGAAAGCAAAACTCACCCAATTCGATACTTTAAAACGGGAATTTTTACGGTTTGTGAATTAGTCCTCACTTAAAAAATGACTGAAGGGTTCGCTGGATACGGTGGTTGCCTGTAATCCCAGCACTGGTCAGGCTGAGGCTGGAGAATCCCAGCTACATAGGAAGGGTTATGACTCAGGCCAGCCCAGGCATAAAGTGAGACGCTACCTCAAAAACAAACAATGCCAAAAGGACTGCAGGAGTGGTTCGAGGGTAGCCTGCCTGCTGAGCACAAGGCCCTGAGTTCAATCCCCAGTACTGCTCAGAAAAGAAAAGAAAGGTATGAAAGAAAAGAAAAATCTTGGGAAAAGAGCAAACAGAATAAAATGACCCTCAAAATAGCAGAAGGAGGAAAATAGGAAAAATAAGAGCAGAAAATAATGAAATAGAAGAGAGAGTCAATAGAAAGTACCAAGAAAACATCAACAGAGCCAAAAGTTAGCTCTTAGAAAATAGTTATAAAAATAAAGAATTTTCGTCATCAGATAATCAAAATAAATAGATCTGGTTCAGGTTAGGAATTAAAAGGGCAGGTACAGGTAATGGTAGATACCGAGTGCAAAGCCCCGAGTTCAAACCCAGTCCTGACACACACACAAAAGAGATGCCAAGTTAATTAAGATAAGAAAAGCCTTAGATACCTCAAAGGTACCTGTTGTTAACAACAAAGGCGTCGGAGGTGTAGGTGAGTGACAAGAATTTGAAGAAGATTGGTTCATAATGTACAGCAAAGAGCAGACTATTCTTCAGAAACAGATGACTTCAATTAGCCGATTTTAGGTTTACGTGAGTAGCTTAGTAGGTTAACTGTAGTAGCTGTAAGGTGCTTGCGTAGTTGCGTATACTCCTAAGGTGCATGCAGTACACCCTCGCTATCCGCGGGTCTCTGCCTCTGAGGAGACTCCGCTGAGGAAAACCACACGCATGCTCAGGAGCCAGAGTTCTGTGTGGTGCTGCAGGCGCTGAGTTCATTTTTTTCATAGCACCATCCACCTTCGTCTGAAGACATCTTCCCCCTTTATGACTTAAATTAGGCATTTCCCCTTTTTGACTTGGGAGGATTCAGCATGACTTTGACCTTGCTTTTTGGGCACCATCTGCTTTTTGGGGAGCAGATTTTCACAACATTAAGGGCAGGGAAACACAACAATTTGAATCCAAACTAGCTGCTTGTGGCTCACGCCTATAATCCCAGCTGCTCAGGAAGCAGTGATCACGAGGATTGAAGTTCCAAGCCAGCCCTGGGGAAATAGTTTGTGAGACCCTATCTCGAAAAAAATAACCATCACCAAAAAGGGCTGGTGGAATGACTCAAGCAGTAAGAGCATCTGCCTAGCAAGCGTGAGGCCCTGAGTTCAAATCCATCAAAGGAGAAAAACAATTGAACACAACTGACAATAACACAGGAGTGACTGGGAGCTTCCTGCACCGGCTGATTTAGAAATTTCTGTTTTTGAAATTTCCTATTTATTTTGACCACACTTGGTTAAACCCACGTGTAATAAATCCACTGATAAGTGGGCTTACCGTATATTCAGTCTGGCCAGGAAACTGTTGTGCCCTTCTCTTGGGAACCCTTGTAGTCAGGTGGCCTGACAGGTTAAACCCCGACTGGGGCCTCTCCTGCCATTCTATCGTTGGTCGGTCATTCCTGAGTACCTGGGTCAAATCTAGCCCAGATTTAAGGCCAACAATAGGGAAGACATAACTAGCAAAACCCTTGTTCCTTCCTATTATTGCTTATACTCTCTCTTCAACAAAATTAGAGATAAGGGCAAAATAGTTTCTGCTGGGTATTGAGGGAGGGGGAGAGGGAGGGGCGGAGTGGGTGGTAAGGGAGGGGGTGGGGGCAGGGGGAAGAAATGACCCAAGCGTTGTATGCACATATGAATAATAAAAAAATAGGGACGACACGGAAGGGGAAGGAACTCAGAAGACGCTCTGAGAGTCCCCTGTGTGTGGGGACTCTGCCTGGGTTTCTCCAGCACACGGGGGACTTAGAAGCAGCCTTTCCCCACACCTGGCTGGGTGGCCCAGGCAGGGAGAGGGCCAGGAGAGGGTCACGCCACATCCGGGGTGACCACTCCAACCCTCGCCACCCCTCAGATCTCAGAGATCATCTTTGTGTCCATCTGCACCTCCGAGTTCTTCATGAAGGTCTATGTGGACCCCCTGGAGTACTGGAAGGATGGCTACAACGTTCTGGATGTGGTCATCGTCATCATCATCTTCATCCCCTATATCCTCTGCAAGATCAAGGGCAGACACTACCGCTACCTCAACATGGCCGATGGTCTACAGTCCCTGCGTATCCTCAAGCTCATCACCTACAGCCGAGGCATCAGGGTGAGTGCCTGGGGGTGGCACGGTGTTGCGAGGGCAGGCTGTGGGGCCACCTGCCTACTGCCCCCTTAAGAAATAATGACTTGACTGCCATCTTCCTGTTACTGAGTCCTACTGTGTGACAGGTATTCTCTCAATGAATCTTAAAGCAGTGGTAAGGAAGGTGTTATTAGCTCTGCTTTATAAATCGAGGCCCCAGGTGACTCAGTTCAGTGTCAGGCTGAGGTTTGAAAGTGTGTCTGGCTGCAGAGCCCATCCTTTCCAGTGCTGCAATGACTGACTTTCTGATGGTACAGAGGCTTTGAACTACAAGCCTGGGGCTTTTCGGTGGCTTTGATCACAGGCTGCCTCCCCTCTTTTCCCAGTAGCTGAAAGTCTGCTACTTTTCTTCTTCTTCTTCTTCTTCTTTTTTTCAATTTCCATTAATTTTAATTTTTTTGGCAGTACTGGGGTTGAACTCAAGGATTCGTAATAGATAGGTAATCTGCTCCTTGAGTGATGCTGCCAGCCCTTTTTGTGCTCTGGGTATTTTAGAGAGAGGGTCTCGCTTTTTGCTCTGGGTGACCTGGACCACGAACCTCACTTCCCACTGTCATTGGGATGCCAGGTGTGTTCCACCACGCCCAGGCTTTTTTTTGAGATGAAGTCTTGTAAATCTTATCTCAGCCTCCCACATAGATTAGCCTGATAGGCATGGACCATGATGCCCAGCTATTTGGTTGAGATGGGGGTCTCATGAACTCCCTGCCCAGGCTGGCTTTGACCTCAGATCTTCCTGATCTCAGCCTCCCAAGTAGCTAGGATTACAGGTGTGAGCCACCAGCACCCAGCTTTAATTCCCATTTATTTTTGGCTTAGTGTGGGCAGAGGGGTGGGCAAATGACATCTTTGCAACTTGAAAAAAAGGATCAAGGTCAACACAGAATAGAAACCAGACGTGACACAACCAAGGCTAGAAGGAAAAGGTAATAGCAAAAGAGAAGTGATGTTTCCAAAAAGATGGTGGGTGTTTTGCTATGTGTCCTCTGGGAAGATAGTCAAAGAGTTAGGTCCCTGCTCTTCTCCATGGGAAACCTCTTCACTTTAAGGCTGCTCTGGAAGCACTGCCCCCGCTAAGTCTTCCTGGGTTGCTTCCTGGGTCATAGAATTGACTAGCCTTTCCTTGGCCTAGAAGGTTCCAGAACAAACCTCAAACCTGACTACGTGTCCTCAGCCAGGTCTGCAGGCATGCGTCCTAGACGCTGTGTGTTTGCCCTGGCAACTGCTCTCCAGGAAGGGGCTGGTCTGGGCCTATTTGTCCAGTCAGGGTGTGTCGCATATCCTGCTAAGATTGCCCCTAGCCGGGTCCCAAATGTGAGAGAGCTCCTCTGCCACAGAGTCCCAGCTCCTCGCTTCCTGGCTCTCCTGTAGTCCATGCCTGTGTGTGTCCAGCCCAGCCTCTACTCCTTTTCCTGGCCAAGCTGCTGGGAAAACGTGAACGCATCCCATCTCCATGTCCTTGCTTCTCACTGTGCCCGGTTTCTTCCCCTCCCTCCACAGTATCTCACCTCTCCAAGGTTGCCAGTAACCTCCTTCTTACCTCCTTGGCATCCTTGTCACTGTTTCTTCCTCCAGCCTGACTTCTCAGCAGGCACGTTTTTTCTTGGCCTGGTCCATAGCTGCTGTTGTCTCAAGATGGCATGCTGCATCCTCATTTCTGTCCCCTCTGCATGGGCTTGCTGGACTCTCTGTGACCTTCAGACCCAGCCACCTCCTGGACATCTCGCATGTTCCTCAAAAACATGTCTGAATTGCAAGCCCTCACACTCCCCCACCCTCACCCCCACATCCCCACACCCCAGCTTCCCCTCCAGTTTTTCATTTTCTTGCTAGGAGAGTTCCCACCTTCATTGAGCTGTTTGACTCTTCTCTCTCCTTTTGCATGGCCTCCTAAATAGTTATTGACTGGGCCACACTTTTTTTTTTCCCTGCTATACTGCCAACCTTTGCCCTGATTCTGCTTTGTGTGTGTGTGCGTGTGTATGTGGTGCTGGTGTTTCAATCCAAGGCCTTGAATTTGCTAAGCAGGTGCTCTACCACTTGAACCACATCCTCAGCCCTTTTTGTTTTTATTATTTTTTTGGATAGGGTCTTGTGTTTTTTGCCCAAGGCCCAGCCTAGACTGCAATCCTTCTATTCATTCCTCCCTAGTAGCTGGAATGACAGGTGTGCACCATCACACCCAGCTTATTGATTGAAATTGGGTCTTGCTAACTTTTTGCCCAGGCTGGCTTCAAACCTCAGTCCTACTGAATCCTGCTTCCTTGGCAGCTGGGATTACAGGTATGAACCACCACATGCAGCTCAGTTGAGGAAATCTTTTAAAGGTACATCACATCATGATGTCCTTTGGTTCAAACCCCTTGTCCATAGGCTAGGGACAGACTCCGCAGGGTGTCCTGGAAGGAGGTAGGGAGTGAGTGTTTGAGGTGCTGGCCAGTGGGGCTGGTGTTAGGTACTGACAAGAGTAAGGCGAGTAGACAGAAAAGTAGACTGGAGGTCCCCGGGCTCAGTGTCACGTAGTGGGCGCCTAGAGTAAGGGACTGGTCAGACGGGAAGTGTAGCCGGTTTCTTCCAGGCGTTGGTCATCAAGGGAGCAAGAGCATGGAGTAGTTGAAGGGTCACTAGAGATAAAGAAGACCGGGAATAGAGAGGCCAGCAGATGGTGTGTCGTCCATAAAGACACTGAAGTTCCCCAGGCTGACAGCAGGATGGCGGGGAAGGAGGCAGTGATCTCAAGACATGACGGGAAGGGGCAGCTGGAATCTTGGTCCTGCCCAGAAGCAGGGACCTTGCCCACTGAGGCAGGGGCTCCAAGGTCAAGGCAGAGGGAAGCCTCCGAATCTCTGGTCACTTCTCTGTTTCTGTATTAGGAACCTCCCTGGAGAGGGCGACTGGCAAGAGGATTAGAGGGTGAAACCAGGAGAGAGGGTATCAGGGAATGTGGGTGCAGACATCTGTGGGGGGGCAAGTGATGAGGAGTGATAGGCTGGGGGCTGGGGGAAGGAAGCTCAGGACCGTGCAGGGAAGAAGGAAGCAGAAAGGACTGGTGTTGGGAGAGGCTGCGTCTTGGAAGGAAGGTGTGGTGACTCCACTTGGCACTTCATGAGTCTGGGGACACTGCTGCCTGCCGAGTGTACCAGTCATGGCTGTGTTGTGGCAGCCTGGTCAGAAATCACAGGCTAGAAGGTGCCTGGGGCTGATGGCTTGGGAAGTAGCCCATCTTTCCAGCCCAGGGAAGCTCCCCTGCTGGCAAAGGGCTGTATTCCAAAACAGGCCGGGCTTCTTGGTGACTTCAGCTCTTGCTCAGCCTTTAGTCTTTGTAGACATGCAGAGATCTGCTGGCATGGAGACACAAATGTGCACCCCAGGTTTGGCTTCAGGGATTTTCTGCCATTAAGCAGAGCCTGGTATCCCAAAGTGGTTCCCCTGGATTCACCAGCTACCCTGACTATGGCTTCCCAGTAGCCATAGAATGTCATGGATCCCTGGATCCCCAGGGGTCCAGAAGTAACCCTAGTGACCCTTTGTGCACTGGCCTGGCCTGCTGGCCAGGGGGCACTAGAGCTGTTGAAGGTGAGAACTTGCACCTCTGTGCTAATTTATATTAATTGAAGCCTGAAGGAGCCCCTGACAGAGTAGAACTCTCAGTGTCTAGAATTGGCCCTCTGGTGCATTCTTGGCTCCTGACCCCTGAATGTCATGAAAAGGACACTCTGCCTTCCACCTAATGGCAGTAAACCGCCTCCATGAGAAAACAGTTCCTTCCTTGGTTTTGCACACAGAGTTCTGTCAGCAGGCACCCGAGGGTCCCACTGCTCCTGCTCACTGGCTTGTCAGCCTGACAGCAACCTTCAGATGCTGGGCTCCTTCCTGCTTCTTCCTTCCGGGCTCCATTATTTCCCATACCTACAAGGGACTGTGCAGGAGGGCAGCACACTGGGCCTGGCTACTTGTCCTGCTTCGAGGTCTTTTCCACGCCCAGAGTGTCCCAGAGCCAAGAAGACAGCTGTGGTTGACCCAGAGCCCAGGAGAGCTGAGCCAGGTGTTGGAAAGTGTATCTGCAAAAAAAAGTGGGAATTCAAAAGCAGACAACTACTCAGGGCCAGGCCATAGCACTCAGAAGCCTAGGACTTCCACAGAGGAGTTCCTGGCCTCTAGGGAAACTGGCTTTCTAGATCTTTCTAAATTGTACATGATGGAACCTGGCTGAATTGTACTTGAAGAATGTCACTACAAACAGCTATCAAGGGTCCTGCCTGGAGAGCATGACTTCTCTTCCTTCCACTGCTGTTCTAAGGATGTGTGGTTGTGGCCTCAGGTGATACCAGTCCATGGGGTGACCCGGAGATAGGGGACCAGGCCTGGCTCTCCCCAACCCTCTACATGTACCTCAGATTCTATCATTATCATGTCCCCTTCCTGCCTGCACAGACCTTATCTGCAGACAACATACCATTACAGTGTTTCTCATGAGAACTTATTACTTTAGTCTTACTAGTTCTTCCGTAGCTATGGCCAAAATACCTGAGAGAACAACTTAAGGGAAAGAATTGTTTATTTTGACTCATGGTTTCTGTCCATAGTCCTAGCCTCTGTTGATTCTGGGCCAGTGGTGGGGCAGAACATCATGGTGGCAGGAGTGTGGCAGACAGGAAGTAGAGAGAGGGGATACAGGAAGGGGGCGGGGCAAGATATAGCCACTGAGGACATGCCCCACTGTGACCTACTTCCTCCAATTAGGTCCCAGCTCCTACGTTTCACTACCTCACAATAATTCTGCCATACTTTGAATCCATCAATGGATCAATACATTGATTAGGTCAGAACCCTCAGGATCCAATCATTTTTCAAAAGCCCATCAACTGGTAACCAAACCCTTAATACATGAGCCTGAGAGGGACATTTCATATTCAAACCATACACCTTGGCAAAGAAGTGCTGTCTCTGCCTAGCAGGGAGAGAGGCAATTGGAATTAACCTGAAAATAGTGAGGAGGGTAGACATGGGCTTGTGTTCACCCCTGCAGGAAGCTACCAAACCAGCCTGACTGCAGGGCAGCCTAAAGCTCTTGGGTTGCCTTTCTGCCTCCCATAGTACCGCCAGACTATGTAGACTTCCCTGTCCTGTGTCCGGCTCTAGGTAGATGCTTTCCTAGTGCTAAGCCAGTGAAGGGTCTCTGTGCTCAGGACGTCTAGTGGTTGTAGGTGGTGGCAAGGAGAATTGTTCACAGCTCCTACCACTGTGTTGCTGTGCAGCCTGGTCATGATGGCTTGCTCCTCTGAGCCTCTGACTCCTCACCTGCAAAAATGATAAGACCTACCCACCATGAAGTTATATCTGTGAAAACATTCTAGATAGGTGACCACATATGGTGTACCTGGCTGGGCATGGTGGCTCAAGCCTCTAATCTGCTACTTGGGAGGTGGAGATTGGGAGATTTGCCAGGCCAGCCTAGAGAAAAAGTTTGTGAGACCCCATCTCAACCAATGGCTGGACATGGTGGCAGCATCTGTCATTCCAGCTACACAGGGAAGTACAAATAGGAGGACTGTTGTCCAGGCTGGCCTGGGCATAAAGTGAGACCCTATCTCCAAAATAACCAATGCAAAATGGTCTGGCAGAATTTCTCAAGTGGTGGAGTGCCTGACTAGCAAGTGTGAAGTCCTGAGTTCAATCCCCAGAACTCCAAAAAAAAAAAGAGAGTGAGACTCTGGGCCTGGAGAATGAACAGTGAGAAACCATACACTGTGTTCCCAGGATTGGCAATGTAGGAGGAGATAAGATTATTGCCCATTTCACAGGGGGAAAGCCGAGGTCACAAGATGGGAACCATATTCCTCTCAGCTGTCTCCATTCTGACACTCAGGGTTGTTCCCCTACTTCTCTTGGGCTTGGGGCAAAGACTATTCAGGGCTGGCCCTTAGCAGAGAAGCAGGAACAAGCCATCCTGGGATGGCCACAGTCATACTGGTTAAGTGGTATTGATGGGGAGGCTACCCTAGAGCTGAGATGGTGTGCACGATCTGCTTGTAGGTGGCCGTGAGATGACTGATGCAGCCTTCAGTCTGGGTACAGTTCTGAATCACTTCATTCATTCCTTCAGCCAACACTTATCTAGCATCTTCCATGTGCCAGGCATGGCATCTGGTGGTGAGGACAGCTGTGAACTGGGCAGAGTTTCACTCCGTTCTCTGAACTGGCTCAGTCAGGTGCCCTTGCCTAGCTGCGGTGTCCCTGCCTTACAGACACTCATCACTGCTGTGGGGCAGACAGTCTACACCGTGGCCTCTGTGCTGATCCTGCTCTTCCTCCTCATGTTCATCTTCTCTATCTTGGGCTTCTGCCTGTTTGGAATTTCAGAGAAGGGTGACTTGGAAAACTGGGGAAACCTCGCTATGGCTTTCTTCACCCTCTTCAGCTTGGCCACGGTACTGTGTTTGGGAACAATGGTGAGGGCAGGGGCCTCAGGAAAGACCTGCCCAGGTGAGTATGTGGACATTCTGGACTGCAGGTGGGGCCTTCCCATGTTTAGGTGCTTAATTGGGTTTGGGTAAGCCAGAGGCTGGCATCCCAGGACTAGTCAGAGGCCAGTGCCCTGGATAGGGACCCACCTCTGTCTCTAATCTTAGGACTTTTTAGATCGTTCCCATATGTCGCACAGAGTCATAAAACTTGTCAGAGTTCTCCAATGATACTTAATTTGGATTAAGTTTAAGTTATAAATAAAACCCACATCACATAGCCTTTTTGAAAATAGGCTGCCACAAATCCACCCAGAATAAGCACGAGGGGCCCAAGTCTAGAAGTGTAGACTCTGTGAAGTCTGTAAAGAGTGATTTTTTTCCCCCCAGAGGTGGACCTAGCAAGAGGCAGTGTTTTTTGGGAGGAAATGGGAGGCCTAGAGAGAACAGACCCCGGGGGGCATGCTGGCCTCCACCCAGCAGTGCCTGCACCTGTAGGCCACCCTGTAGAGACTACAGTGGACTGGGATGTGGAGAGTGAGGCAGTCCTTCCTGAGTGGGGCCGGGGCACCCCACAATAGTTGAGGTGGAAGCCTACTTCCTCTGGACCTTGGCAGTCAGAACACCACGCTTTGCCTGGCCAGGTGGATGGCTGGACGAACCTGCAGAAACAGTTGGACAGCCATTACTTTATTGCGAGCCGGGCTTTCACCATCACCTTCATCATGCTCGCCTCCTTCATCTTCCTCAACATGTTTGTGGGGGTGATGATCATGCATACTGAGGTGAGGCTGCGCTTGCAGGGTCATGTGTGGGGTTGGGTCAGGTCAGATATGACAGGTGCAGGTATGGGCGAGGCCTCCTGTGTCTCCCTCCTGAAGTGCAGTGGAGGTGGTTGATGGGCTCCTCCCATACTCACCACCTCTCCTCCCTGAGGTCTTGCCTTTGCTTTGCCCCATGGTGGTGGCCAACAGGGAGTGGAGCTTGGGAAGCCACTGCAGCTACAGTTGGCATCTCAAGTTGGGCACTGGCCCTGTGTGGGAGGACCTTTCTGCTGAGGCCTGGCAGCAGGGCAAGCTAGGTAAGGAGAGAGACTGGAAGGGAGAGCATACATTGAGACCTGCCCAACTTCCATCCTCTGACTCGCTAGGCTTCTATCAAAAAGTTTAAACGACAGCTGCTGTTGGAGAGACAGGTGACACTTATGGAGGAGAAGCAGGTGATTCTAAAGCGACAGCAAGAGAAGGTCAGCCAGCTGATGGAGACACAGGTACATGGCACCCACAGTCAAGGTGACAGGTAGAGGGACGGTTAGGGATGAAAGAATGTCCAGGAAGAGGGGCCTTGGGGTCCTGTGTAGAGGGAAGGTGTCCTCAGGCATGTGTAGCCTTAGGTCAGCAGATACCTTCCCCTTGTATCTTCTCTTTTCTTTCTCTATTTTTGTGTTTCTCTGGATTGCATGGGGTGTTGAGTGTGTGCTTATAGTGACCCCTCCTTTGTAGGTGGAACCCCTTTTTTGGGGCCTTTTGGGGTGGGAGGTCTATGTGGAGCTCCAGGCAGCACGTCCCAGGTCACTGGCTGGATGAAGATGAAGAGGCTTTGTCAGAGTGTTACTCAACCTCTTTCCCACACTTCTAAAACCAGAGCAAGAATGACACAGCAGCCTGGAGGTTTTGGGCCAAGCGTGATATAGTTTCATGAGCTGGGTGCTGCTTGTCTTTTGTGCCTAAGAGCTCTTGGTCCAGCTTTGGCTGCCCTGCCAGGTCCCTTCGTCTGCTGGCACATTTCTCCTTAATCTCTCCTCTGAGGTGGAGGCACTTGTTTGTCTAGACTGTGCCCAAGGTTTGTCCAAGGCTGGAAGAGGCCATGTTCAGCTACGTTCGGGCTCTCACTGGCTCCTTGATATACCCCTGACCTCATGTTAGAGATGGTGGCTATTAACTTACCTCATCCATGAGGGTCCAGGCTCAGAAGGGTCAGGATAAACTTGTGACAAGGCTCAAGGCTTCTCCTGGGGCCAGAGACAGGCCTCTGCCTGGGGCCATTTGTGGAGGGTCTCCAGATTTCTGTGTACCTTGGCTGTCACATTTTTGTCACTGTTCTTGAATTTGCTTCCCCTTCTAGAAAGATTCTAGCAGGAGTTTCAGCGAGTTGGTGGAGAATTTCAAGAAGACCCTGAGGCACACTGACCCTATGGTCTTGGATGAATTTGGCACTAGTCTCGCCTTCGTTGACGTCTATTTGTCCACTCTGGACAATCAGGACACTACTATTCACAAGTCAGTCCCAACCCAGCCTTTCCTGGTCCCCAGGGCTTTGGCAAGGTTGGGGTGTGTGGAGGGCCCTGGAGGGCTTGGTGATGGAGGTGGAGAGTGGGTGGGTGGACCAGGGTCCTTGCTGAGAATGCAGGTTTCCATATACACACAGGGGCGGACTGCTGGGTGGATGGGTCTGTGGCTGAGGGAATCTGCAACCCTTGCCACTCCCCACCCGTCCTTGACTTGTGTTCATATATCAGCTCCTTCAACTCTGCAGAAAACTCCTTTCCAGCCTTCTTTCAGGGGACAGAAAAGTGCACTGGATGGCAAATCAGGCGTTGGGACTTCTCACCTGGTTTGCCACTATCTTCCTGTGTAACTTTGGACAAGTCCCTCAGGCTGACTAAATGACAACAATGTGTGTGAAGCTCTGAGCTTGTCCTGGCCTGGGGCTTATGCTCTGTGTGAGCTGGCTGAGGTTATGATAGGCCATTATTGAGCAGGAAGGATGAGAAGCTCAGCAGAAGGTCTATGGGCACTAGGGAGCCACAGTGGGATCTTGAGCAAGAACAGACATAGCCTGGATTTTCAGTGAAAGTCTCATGGAGGGCTTCAGAGCCTGTAGAAACTAAAAAGGAGGGAGCCAGGGAATGCCCACTTTTAGCCCAAATAGGAACCACACTGTTCCTATTTCAGAGTCCAGTAGTTTATCTCCAACCTGACACATGAAGTGAAATAACTTATACCAGGGGCCCCCAGCAAAGTGGCAAACTTTGGAGTCCAACCCACCTGATCTGGCTCTGAGGTTCTTGCTCTTTTCTGACCCTACACCTGCCAGTTGTGGTGAATGTGCAGGTGTGTGTGGCAGGTGGGGCCAGGGTGGCATGGCGCCCACCTCATCCTCAGATCCCCTCTTCTCTCGCTCTACCTTCCAGGCTTCAAGAGCTGTACTATGAGATTGTGAATGTGCTAGCCCTGATGCTTGAAGACTTGCCCCAGCAGAAGACGTCCCAGACCTCAGAATTGGGCGATTAGAAGTAGCTGGGTGTGTGTGGGGTGCCCAGGTGTTAAGGATCAAACAACTATGGCAGCGCCATTAAACACAGGCTTTCAGAGCTGGTCTCTCTAGACTCACAATGATGTGGTGTTTCCCTGCCTGTGGAAGTTGGGAGTGCCCATGAAGTCTGAATCCCTAGAAGCTGCAATACTGCAGTCCTGGGGAGAGAGAAGAGAGAGGCTCTGACTCTCCCTGGCTAGAGGCCACATCCAGGGGCCATAGTGACTCTAGTTTCCCTGGACCCAGCAGCAAGGAAACCACGGGGCTCCTGGAGAAGCTACCTGAGGACTGCAGACCAAGAAGGGCACCTCATCAAAGGGTGTGGTCCTGCTGATGGAGAAACCTCTCGGGGCTGATTTATGTATGGGTACCTACACCTGGCAGAGCTGTAGCTCTCTGGGAACCCACTGCTATGGAGACCCCTCTTTGGATGTCTACTCCGATTTCCCATAGCCTCATGCCAAGGAGAGCAGCCATGGCTGGCAGAATGTGGTGATGTGGGCATGGAGCTCGGCCTGGGGGCACTGCCTATCAGCAGTGTGGGACCATGTCTGTCAGGGTCCAGAGTAGCAGCAGTAGGCATTTTGGACTTCTTCCCTTTTGTGGTTAGTTAGGACTCTTCAGGGTAGCATTTTCTGCATCATTCCTGACCAAATGTCTACCAGATTGCCAAGGTCCTAGCACCACTCTGGCCCAGCCATGATTGAGCCATCTGAAGGTCCTGGTAGGTCAAGGAGGCTGGCACCCCTTCCTCCAAACTGGCCAGTACAGTGCCTGGCAGTGCACGTTCTGCTTCCATCCTGGGGAGTGTGCCTGAGGCTTGTCACCTCAGACAGAGGGGAAGGTAGGTTCTGAGTACAGCTTGGGTGGAGGGCTGGCACCCACATCTTGGTACAGAAAGACTCCCAATACACATTGGGGAGTCAGATCAGCAGAAAATATGGGGTAGAGTGAGAGTGGATGGGCAAAAGGAACCTATGGCCAAGCCCATGGTCTGGGTGACAGTATCTAGAGGTCAGGAGACAAGGGTAGGGAGGAAAAAACCTTTCTTCATGGTTTCATTCACTATTTGTTTACTGGGCTGTACTGGATGCTTGGGGTCCAGCCTTGGCCTTCTAGGTGTCCACAGTCATGTAGGGGAGACAGCAGTCCAGCCAGTTTCCTTGAGGAGGTGACAATAATGGTCTGAATGTAGAGAGTACCTGTCTTCTGAGATACGCAAATCATTTTTACTTGCAAAGGCTCACTGAGAATGAAGAAGAGAAGGCAAAGGAGGATTGATTGCTCCTAAGGGTGAGACGCATCACTATGCTGTGGGGAGACCTGTGAGGACAGGGATGCCACCTAGCCACTTACTGACTTGAGAGGACTTTGTGCCAAAACCTGGGAGGGGGCCTGCAGTAGGTAGGGTGTCCATGTCCTTGCGGTGGGGGAGAATCCCAGGGAGTCAGTCCCTGTCAGGTTGATTCTATACAGGCCGGGAGTCACGTGGGGCGCTCTGGTGAGAGCAGCCCGGATAGAAGGGCAGGAAGCCCACAGCCAATGGCTCCAGTGGCTCCAGTTCAGAACTGGGGCAAAGCACATAGTGTCACCTGCTCACACTGGGTGTGTCATTGTCCTCAAGGAACATTAAACTATATTCGCCTGCTCCCTTCAGGAACCCTGGGAATTGCCAGAGGCATTTGGGAATGAACAAAGAATTTTAAAATTTGCCTCAAGGGTCAAGATAGCAAGTGCCAAGGTTTTAGAGTCAGGAGACCTGGGTTTCTTTTCTTTTTTTTTTGCAATACTGGGGTTTGAACTCAAGGCCAACACCTTGAGCCACTCCACTGGCCCCCTTTTTTTTTTTTTGTGAAGGGTTTTTTGAGATAGGGTCTTGTGAACTATTTGCCCAGGCTGGCTTTGAACCATGGTCCTCCTGATCTCTGCCTCCTGAGTAGCTCAGATTACAGGTGTGAGCCACTGGCACCCAACGGATCTGGGTTTCTTAATGTATGGTCTTGGGCAAGGTATCTGGTCTGTGGAAGCCTCAAATAGTCCCTCTGAAAAGTGGGGTGATAAAACTGAGCAGCTACAGGATCCAATAGAATACAGATAGTGTGAGAAAAGATGTTATCAACTCATGACTGGCCATCAGTCCTCTACCTGTGCTGGGGGACAGCTGTAGTGGGCTGCGCTGGTTGGGAGGCCGAGAAGGCCAACTGCAAGGTGGCAGGGAGGAACAAATGGAGCTGAGGGCAGAGCAAAGGACAAGGACTTGCAGAGGGAATATGACTGGGTCTCCAGATGGAGCTGGTTCAGGATGGACAGATGGAAGTGGAGGTGGAGACCTGGGTACCAGGCCCAGCATGGCAGCCCCAGGCATGGGCCACTGGGGTGCAGAGTGCAATAGCAGGCACCTTTAAAGGCACAAGAGGAAGGCTTTCAGGGACAGAGAACTAGCAGGGGGTGTTGTGCACAGGGCTGGCCCAGCACTGCTGGCAGAACAAACTGATGGATACTTGGCACAGAGTCCCAAAGCAGCATTTCTGTTTGGCTCTGTTGGCCTGCAGAGCAAACACTGGTAGATTGGAATTCCCACTTGGGCTGTCACCAACTCAAACAGGCTTGACCAAGACCTTCTATTGATTGGCCTGGCTGTGCAAAGCAGGACCCTCCTCCCCACCCATACCCTGGGAACCAGCAGGGCTATCCCTAGTAGCAAGCTCATCTCCAGCCTGCCAGCTTGGTGGTTTGGGGTCTACAGTGGAATGCAGGGGACTTGGGCCTGAGTCTTCTGCTCATGCCAGGGGCCTCCCCCAGCTCTCCTGGGAAAGATCTGGAATCCAAGGCTGGAGGTTTTTGAAGGGTGGCTTTTTTTTTTTTTTTAATTTATTGCTTGTTGATTCTGCCAACAGGGAGCAGTCCTTGTAGTATGGAGGTCCAGGTAGTGAGAATATAAGTTCTGTATGTACAAACAGCTCCTAGGGACACTGAGAATTGTGTACCTTGATATCTTCAAGTGCAGGTGAGACAGGACACCCCTAAAACCAAACTGCCCATTCAATATGGCAGGCTTTGCACTCAGTCCACCTGTTTTAAACTCTGTCCTGGGCCCCAAAGTATTCTGATCCAGTGTCCTGCAGTCATAGTGTCTGTTTCTCTCTCTCTCTCTCTGGTTATGAATTCCTAGGCAGGCTTCTCAAGAAAGGAGAGACTCTTTCTGAGAGAAAGAGAGCTATTCCTCACAGAGAACTTTCTTTGAGTCTGGTCAGCCCTTTCCACTGGTGCTGTTCTTCCCCAAGTTCTGTCTTGGGTTTTATTTGGGGCTTTGTGTGATGCTGCCCCGGGAGAAAGGTGCAGTGCAGAACTGGAGTTGGAAGGAAAGTACAGTTTCCTTGCTTTCTTCGCCAGCTGGGTCTCCTGGGCTTCCTTCCTGGTGGAGGATCAGGGTAACAGGCAGAGCAGAAAGGCCCAGCAGAAGCAAGGTGGGGGAAGGGAGGGAAGAGGAGGTAAAAGCTGAGGGCTGGGAGCCCAGGACTTCTGGATAGTGGCTCTGACACAGATGGCATGAGAGACCTGGAGAGGGGACACTAGGGGTCTTAAATGCCCTTATGGGCTAAGAATTGGAATCCCTAGTAGAGGCAAGTAATGACCGAAATTATTTTTAAATTACTTTTAGTTGCTGTACTATATCTTTTAAAAATGAAATCCTGTGAATGACAGATTGGACCATGTGGAGTCTGGATTTTATTTAGATTATATAAAAGATCCTCTAGGGGCAGAGGATGCAGCGAGACCCTGGGTTCCAGACCTAACACTGCAAAAAGAAAAAGAAGTCCCCTGTATGATAGAGACTGCTCAGTTTAAACTGGGAAATGTCAAGAGGGCTTTCTTTACAAACCATGGACTGAACCCCAGTGGGGACCAGAGGCCTTTAGGTGAAGTATTCCAGAGGGTGGTGGCACCAAAGTGTGGCTGGCTTTTTGCAAAATGAAACTGATGTCTCAAAAGGAGAGGCTACTGGGCCAGAGGAGGAGCCCAAGCAGTGTTCAGGCACCCTCCAAAGAAACAGCCCGTTCTCTTTATTGGTTGTGGAAATAGCGCCTTCTGTTTTGCCAGCACTCCCGTTTCCAGCTACCTGTACAATTTCAACTAGTAACAACACTTAGTCAGGTATTTTCATTATTCTCATTAAACAGGTGGCAAAACTAAGGTTCAAAGAGGTGATGTAATCTATCCAAGGTTGAACAACAAAGGTGGAAGAACCAGGATTCCCAACCAAGTGCAGCTGGCTCTTTAATTGCTCTGCTATAATGCCGTGCAACCATCTCCTGCGGAATCCTTATTCCTGGTTTATAGGTGGGCAAGCTGGCACTCAGAGAGGCTCACGTGCCAAGATCAGCACCAAAGGGCACAGTCAGTATTTGAATGCAGGCCACACACATACCCTTCTACTCTGCTGGCTCCTAGCAGCCCTTTTTCTTTCTTATTAAAACTATTGCTTGAACTTTAAAAATCAAGCCATGATTCCCTCCTGAGCAGGGCCTGTCTGTGGGAGGGGAGGGGGCTCAGCCAGGTCGTGGCTGACCAGTTCCTCCACACCTTCTCCATGCCTGCGTGGGGAAGCTCTGAAGTCTCTCAGGCCCTGGGAGCCTGAAAGATGGAGAGGACGGCAGGAAGCAATCAGTGTGTGCAGAAACGGTGGTGACTGGGCGCCTAATCAGGAAATTACAGCCTGGGCAGAGAGAGGGTTTGGCGTAGACGTTGCCTTTCCCTGGGCTTCAGTACGGCGGGCCCACAAGGAGGCTTGGCTGCAGATACGAGGGCAGGGCAGGCTGAGCCAGCTTGAGAGTGCCAGGCAGGCCAGGCAGGACCACCAGCCTCTTTTAGGGTGGCTGATAGCTCATGGGGAGCACCTGGAACCTTGGGAGGCTCTTGGCTGGAGGAGGTGACTTTTTACTGGTCTTTTGAATGAACAAGCAGAAAAGGAGGAAGA